CCGAGCATGAGCAGGGAATTGGGGAGCAGAACAGGGAATTGGGGAGCAGAGAGGGGAATTGGGGAACAGAACAGGGAATTGGGCAGTGGAGAGGGGAATTGGGGAGTAGAGAGGGGAATTAGGGAATGGAGAATAGAATTGGGGAGCAGAACAGGGAATTGGGGAGTGGAGAGGGGAATTGCGAGGAGGAGAAGGGAATTGGGGAGTGGGGCAGGGAAATGGGGAGTGGAGCAGGGAATTTGGGAGTGGAGAGGGGAATTGGGGAGCAAAGTGGGAATTGGGGAATGGAGAATGGAATTGGGGAGCAGAGAGGGGAATTGGAGAGTGGAAAACTGGGGAGCAGAACAGGGAGCTGGGGAGTGGATAAGAGAACTGGGGTGCAGAGAGAGGAATTGGGGAATGCAGTGGAAAATTGGGGAGCGGGGCAGGGAATTGGGGAGGAGCTGCCCCAGCCCCACTCGGACACGTTGTGCTCTGCCCCGGGTCCAGCTCAGCGAATTAACACAGCATCACTCTCTAACCCAACACATACAATATTCATTTGAATATTTGCAAAAAGCCAATCATAAAATAAGGATTTTTCACAGATTGTTCCTCTCCTCCTTCCCTCCAATCTCCCCTCCATCCCTCCCTTTGCAGCCCCATCGTTCCTGCCGCTCTCCCCGGGCTCATTCCCGGCACTTGGCACCTCTCAGCTGGATGAAGATTCATTTTCCCTGCTGGGATGCCTGGAAAAGGAGGGGGAGGTCACTGCTGTGCCTGGGTTTGGAAGCTGTGAGAGCAGAGCTGAGGATTTAATGGCACCTTAAATTCACGGCTCAATGTTGGGTCCCAATTCTGATCTGAAAGCAAATGCAGGCCTGGGAATTAAAGGAGGAAGATGAGTTTCACTAGAAGGTAAATAAAAATTAACTGGTGGTGATATAAACATACCTGGGTACACAAATGCAAGCGTGTGGGTTCTGAAATACACTCAATTAGAGGAACAAGAGTTTGGGGTTATTTTTAATAAAAGGTTCATGGCCAGACTTCAAGGACTTCCAGACAATAAAACCACCCCCAGCTCCACCATCCAGCTCGGGGTGTTTATGGCTGTTTAGTGCTCTGAGCATAAAATAAAAGCACCACCACAAATTAGCCAGTTGTTTGTGCCACCTCCTGTCCCTGATCTCTGCAGGCGGCTCCAGACCCAGGATCACCCTGAGATGTGCCAGGCTTGCTGCCCAAGCTGGGAAATGGGGCAATTAGTGGAATTAATTAGGCAGGATCCCCTTGGCTGGCATTGCTGGGGTTTGGGAGCAATGAAGCATCACCCTGCTGATGCTCTCATGGGATCTGTTTATTCCCGAGGGTGTTGGGGCAGGGCTGGGGCACTGGAGCACAAATGTGGGAGGTGAGAAATTGGGCTGGAGCAGCTTTCGAGCAGCTGAAGCTGCGCTTTGTGTGGGCAGAGCTGGCAACTGCTCTGCTTTGGGAACTGAGCCGGGGTCAGTGAATTCCAGAGGCCGGGGGGGGGGCTCATCCTGCAGCTCCCACCAGCCAGAAAATCCCTAAAATGAGGCAGGAGGAGACAGAAACCAGGGAAGGAAAAAGCTCCTGCAGGACGCCCGCGGTTGTTCCCAAACTTCTCACAAACGGGGAACAACAAAGGAGCCAAACGCGGAGATAATTAAGGACATAATTGTACACACACAACTGCTTAATTAAGCTTTTCCTCTCGAAACCTGACAGAATCTGCTTACAAGGTGCGAGCACGAGGGGAGGCTGCCCATATGCTGGGCCATCTGCACGGCAGGCGGGAGGCAGCAGCCCGAGGGGGAGGAGGAGAACCAGGAAAAGGAGGGAAAACAGGGAAAAAACTGGAAAAGGAGGCTGTGAGTGCTGCCCTCAAAAAAAGAAAATAAAAAAGAGCATCAGAGTCCTGCTCTGGGCATGTGGCAGTGGCGCTTGGTCCCTCCCTGTGCCCATGGCATGGATCTATCCATGTCCCCATTTGGGACCTCCAGGAATCCCCAGAGCTCAGGGCAGGGGCACAATGAGACCCCTCCCTCACTTCTCTGCAGGTTCTTGGGGTGGGAATTAGGAAAAAAAAACTCCCTTTTTTTGTTCCTTTAAACAAGCAGGGCTCAGTAAAGCTCAGGATTTTTGTCCCAGCTGGGGCCCAAAGTTTTCTCTGGCACTTGGGTATCCAAATAAACGCTGGGGAGTGCAACAGGCTCCAATCAAACCCTAAATCCAGCAGCCCCTCCCCAGCACAGCCCTCAGTGAGGAGGGGGCCCAGTCCCTGGGTCTGGGGTCCCTCCTGCTGCAGACCCAGCTCCTCTCCCCCTGTGTTTCAGGACAGGTTATTGGATTTTCCCTGACTCCTTTTTGGGGCTGGACAGCCGGGATCCATCCCAGCCCCAGCTCCTCTCTCTGTTCCACTCCCAGGATCCATCACTGGTGTGTGGGGGGATTGGGACAAGGAGTGGGGATGAACAAAGGAGAGGGAAAAGGATGGGGGCACCTGGCTGAGCTCCTCCTTCCCGAGATCCCAGCTAAAGCTGTTGGGAATGGGATATGGAGGTTATAAACATGTTTTTTTATTGATTTATCCCCTCTAGACCTCTTGGAAACGATGAGGGGTGGCATTGCCAGCCTTGGTGTCATCCCATGGAAATCAGAGCAAATTCCAGTGTCTGGACTCTGTCCAGGATTGTGGCCCCAGCAGGACACGTGGCCATGGCAGGGGACACCTGGGAACCTGAGCTGTGGCCCTGCTGTCCCCAGAGCCACTGGGGAGAGGTCCCAGAGCCTGCAGGACCCATCCTGCTCCATCCCCCATTCCCACTGGGATGTGCAGCCTGTTCCCACCCCAGCAGCCTGGCCATTCCTTTGCCGTGGAGCAGCTTTATTCCATGTATCCCATGTATCCCATGTATTCCATGTATCCCATGTATCCCATGTATCCCATGTATCCCATGTATCCCATGTATTCCATGTATTCCATTTATTCCGTTTATTCCGTTTATGCCTCGGACGGTTCCAGCGGGCAGGACCCGTCACATCCCGGCTGCCTCAAGGAGCAGCCTCTGCTGCCCTCTACCTCCATCCGCGGGGCTGCGGGGGCTCGGGGGAGACCAAACCACCCCGAGCCCAGGCTGGAAGGAGCTGCGAGCTCCTGGACTCTCCTCTCCAACCTCTGCGATCTCCCTCCAGCACCAGCCCGGGGATTCCTCGCTGGGAATGCAGCCCTGATCCCTGGGGAGGAGGAGGAGGGAATGGGGTGGAAAATCTCCTTGGCACCACATTTCATCCAGGTTGTGCTGGCAAAACTTTGTGTCCCTGCAGCTCGGCCCTCGAGGGCAGCATCGGCAGGCTGGGCTCGAGCCCTGCTGCACCTTCCTCCCTTCCCTCCCTGCT